ATCTCTTTCTCTCACTCTCTCTCCACCCTCTCTCTTTCTCTCTCTCTCTGTCTCTCTCTCTCTTTCTCTCTCTCTCTTTCTCTTTCTCTCCCTCTCTGTCTCTCTCTCACTCTCTCTCTCTTTCTGTTTCTATCTATCTATCCCTTTCTCTCTCTCACTCTCTCAATTTAAAGTAAACGACAGAACAAACACCTGTGTGTGTTCACCCTCTTGTCGACCTGCTTCTCTTTGCCAAACACACAAATTGACGAACAGACGAACAAACACAAACGGTGCTCTGTTGTTTCTTTCTTCTGTCACTCCTTCAAACATATAAACAGACAAAAAAACAAGAACGTGGGTGGTTGGCGGGTGCTCTGATGTGGTTTGCTCCTTCTTTCCTGTCAAACAACTATCGTCTTTATCTCTCTCCTCCTTCTTTTTCATGTTTGTTACTCTCTTGTAACACCTCTAGTCTTCGGCACTTATATGACCTTATTGTGTTGCAAGTGCCGTAAAACTCTTACTAAAACTAAAACAAACAAGAACCCATACCTGTATTTGTTCACGCCAAAACGTTTCTCTTTTACTTGTAATTTATCGTGCGTGGTTGGAGGGTGTCTCACTCTCTAGTAGGTCCTGCTTCTGGGAATGGATCCTTTTTTGGAAGGGATATCTTCTGTATGTATGGAATATATTGATGTTATTATTATAATTGTTATCATCATCATCATCATCATCATCATCATCATCATCATCATCATCATCATCATCATAGTATAAAGAAGGTATTAAAACCGTTAAGACCTTGTTGTATTTCCAGAAAATATATATTTTTGAAATATATTAATTGATTTATTAATCTCTTTTTATTCATCTGTTTTTCATCTATCTTTATTTGTTTACCTTTTTATATTTTTTAAATCTATTTATTTATTTATTTCCTTATTTATTTATTTCCTTATTTATTTATCTTTTTATTTATTATTTGTTTATTTATTTGTTCTTTTATTCGTCCATGTATTCCAACAACTGACCAACCACACTCACCATCACTCACCTCCCTCAGCACGGAAATGCAGCGATCCACGAGGCGTGTTGGAACGGCTTCAGTAAGACCGCGGAGACTTTGGTCAAGTATGACTGTGATGCCTTCCTTACCAACAAGGTAACTGTGTGTGTGTGTGTGTGTGTGTGTGTGTGTG